GTGATAGGGGAATGTGTTGAGAGATGAAGACGATACAGACCGCGCAAGCGATTGGGAATCCTCATGGAAGTGAGGACTTTATTACTCAACCTCGGCTCTGCAGACTCTACAGTGAGAGCTGAAGGCTCGTAGGGGACACCACTGACAGGTGTTGAGAATAGAGGCCTACATGGTGCTATGCATGTATGAGAAATAAATACTATACTCTCTAGAATGCTTATCCTCTGAAATCCATTACCAATTACTACCACAGGTGATACGACCTCACTGGAGAAGGTACATCTTCGCTCTGAAGTCTAACTCGTAAGGGATTTTCAGAGATCTCATGTTACAGATATGCATTGGCTATTATAAGAAAAGCGATCATGCGAATCGTGCGCATAAAGGGGAAATTTCCGGTCTCTATTCGGAAAATATCCCCAGCCACTGCGTCACAGATTACAGTGTTCGTTAGATTACTCAGTCTAGTTGAGCAAAGAAGTTATATTAACTTTGGAGTAAGTTGCCAAGCGGACATGTCTTGGGAACGCAGTCAGAGCGTCAGCATCGCCGAATACTAAAGTCGTTTATAAGATCTCACGGCTAGTCACTGTAGGAGCTTACATTTGCCGTCACCATGTAATTGTTTATCTTAATAGGGGTGATAACTTGTGAGTTGAATCCCTCTTTCATTAATGACCACTTTCGATATAACGATATGATGGGGTTATCAGTTTTCCAATGCTAGTTTGTTCAGAAAATATCAGGGCGTGACCCTCAACATTTATTGGAAAACATTGAATAACTTCATTATAATATTGAGATAGTAGTTAGAATTCAGATGATAGATTCTAGAAGTGCTTCATAGTCTCAGACTGATAAGGGACTAAAATCAAGTTCTTATCTTGATGAGAAAATGAGAACTATTTAGGGTACATATCAACAGTATATAATTTGACTTTTTATGGTGTTCGTATGAAATCTTTGATGGTCTAACGGTCATGATTTCCGCTTGTCACAACGCATCGCGGGAGACCGGGGTTCGACTCCCCGTCAGAGAGAAACATGCAGATGCGTAACCTGGCCTTTTGCTTCCAAATCTGTCTTTTCATCACTCCACGACGCACCGACCGTGAAAGTTTCTACACATGCTCACAATAATTTATCTTTCCTGTTTTCATATTGGGAGCAATTAACTAGTTACTAGATCACGGTTCGGGAATTTATGGTGATGAAGAACATGTTGCTATGAAATCCCAGATACTGGATGGTTATTCTTCCCAATGCCAAACATTGTTGACCTCTACGAACTTGGGAGCCAAATACTCTCCCAGAGCCAAGTTCTGACAGATTTCGCGATACCGAACAAGTTGGCCCACGAGGCAAAATTTCAAATTACTTCACCATGTCAATATTTCACTCCCAAAGAGTCCGATTCTCAACTAAGCTTCATCAAGTCTACAAGTACGACCTAGTACATTCTCATTCCAATGACCACACCTCTCGTCGACTTTCTCTGGCCTCAGCCGGTCACCAAACACACACCCACGCCGATATTTACACCCGACGGAGGAAGCAAAGCGTGGCGCACAAATCTGGAAGGCAGTTCTTTGGGATGGACGTGAGAGGAATCAGGACAAGTTGATAAGATGATGCAGAGGATGGATACATTCTTGATGTGCGTGAAGTTTCAAACTTTGGCAAGGAGATTTTATAAATTGAGCTTTGTGCGTGTCAAGTCTTCGCTTGCGAGAGGCAGTTGACACTATAAAAATCGTCATGGTTGGATGGTGCGGTGGTACATCGTCTTGGCCGGTCTGCCAAGTAGAGTCTGGATAGCTTGGACACATATCCCACTTGAGACAGTAGATCGCTGGTTCAAATCCAGCAAAACGCAACCACATTTCTCGCGGCGTTGGTATGGATGTATGACGAAGGCATGCTTGGATAACCAAAGGTTTCGAAAATTCCTTTGGTGGGTAGTCACGGAGGAGAGTCGACTGTTTGTGTATGTCTGTTATAATAGACATTGGAAATAATTCATGAGATTGCTTAATGAGTGGCTAGATTTGATTCCGATCTAATATTGTAGAGGACCTCTCCCAACTATCAGAGGGCTAGAACATCTTTATCTATCTTCGGGTAAATTTCCCAATTTCCAACCACGCTAGACATATAAGATGTAGCATATTAAACTTGATTTGTATAATCATTTTGTGGTTGAGGTTTACCGTGCATATGCTACTCGAGTCGCATGTCTGACTACTATGCGATACGCTCAGGTATCAATCTACCAACCCACACCAAACCGAAACTATTCACAACCCTGATGATGACCCCATGAATAATTGTAACAGTAGCCTGCAACATATCACAATTACGCTAGACATCGTTGATTAGGACACAATCCGATCAAGTACAATCAGACGATTCTTTCCACTGAACATTGATGCTATCAAGCCCATTATAATTTTTTTGATAAACTGAGGCTTTCTACCTCCTAGGAAACTATTGCTAAAACTCCCAACACGCTTCACCATCACTTAACTACATCATCGAAGCGTGAGGATTTAGTCGAGTCTAACAAATAGTGATATAATTTGTCCTCTCATACCCCAACCGCTAGAGTCCTTTATATCCTCACAAGATGTTCCGGGCGATTTGACCTACGAAAACCAACAATAATACTGTCACGAGTTTTATCTAACTGACGATGCTCGTAAATAGAGTTGGTCAAAATTTCTTGTAAGTATTGAAGCATATTTATCAAAACAACTTAAACTTGCCATTATTTATAGCTAAAATTGTGGAAATACTGATCATGGTAGAGATAGTTGGGCTCTCTTCACTTGTAACTGGGGCGTAAACTAGGCGCAGATCATAGGGTTTTGCTGTAGAGCTTGTCCCATCATAACACGGCCATGCGACCTCATGGACCTGTGAATGGAATCTAGATAGAACAGTAAACAAGAATATGTATAACTACATCTAAAACTGAGCTCTAGACTCCACATGTTTAACTTGAGTTACTCTCAGAGGCCTCCATGATAGTGAGAGACTGGAAATCCTTTGAAAATAATTTGATACAATAAGATGAGTGTTACGGCGTGCGCTAAGGATACTGGAGATCGCCGTCTACCGAAGGTAATGAATTAATAACTTTTGGGGTTATGGCTAGTAACGAAGGATACTAAGATTTAATTCGACTGGCAAGGTGCTAGGTGGTCAAGGGTCGGAGAACTACAGGAGATTCGAGAGGCACGAAGTCGAGCTGCGGAGCAAGCGATCACGGCTGATAACTTAGGGTGAACAGAAGTACGAAGAGTGTAACAAATAACGAAAGACTGAGAATATCGGAGTGTGAGAATACAAGATTATAATATCGTGTAAATGCTAGATTGCGAGATTAAAGATCAAAAGAATGAAAGATTGAGTAGCTGGAGAGCTACTCTATCGCAGCTCCAGCTTCCTGAAGTCTAGCTTGAGATAGTACTAGAACTCAACTAAGGCTATGGCAGATGTAGTCATGACGCCAGACTCTCCATCTCTAACTGTCAGAGTTTTCTAGGAAACCTTCTCAGTAAACCTTTTCCCATGAACCTTCTTCTTGAAACCTCTTCAAGGATACCTGGCCATAGCAATAACTCTCTGCGTATTTGACATTTAGTAAGGCCTGGAGCAGTTTTCATCCACTCATAATGTGAGTCTGAAGCAGTACTAACGGCGATAGACTTCAGATGTTCCCACCCTGATACTTAAAATTGTCGGTTAATCACCGTTTCTGGGTTATATGCTAGCAGAAAGAGTAGGCAACAGGAAAATTGACCAAAACGTCAGTTGGTCTTAATGAACGTATACGTAAGGTTAGTTTAATGCAATATGAAAGGTACAAATGTGAGGTACATTTTTCGTCTTGTGTCTCTAAGAACATTATAAACGTAGAGTTTGGGGGACTACTCTTAACACCTCTCAGTGGTGTCCCCTACGAGCCTTCAACTCTCAATGTAGAGTCTGCAGAGCCGAGGTTGAGTAATAAAGTCCTCACTTCCATGAGGATTCCCAATCGCTTTCGCGGTCTGTATCGTCTTCATCTCTCAACACAATCCCCTATCACCATTATCATAAAGCTAACCACGATCAGATCAGATGGTAGGGTCGAAGCCCTACTCATCACCTACCTGTGATCATGGAGGAGGAGCCATCCGACAAGTTTCTGGAGCGTACCCAGCACCCGATACGGAGATGGTGGATTGGATCAAGATGATATCAAATATTACAAAGAAGGGACATATAGATGAATATGCGCACCTCATGTGGTCCCGGTGTCTAGGCCTTACCTAGCTAGGGCTGCAGGTCTTTTGAGACTTTTTCCCGCGCACGCAGTTTCCATTGATACCATTTTTTTGTTTTTTTTTTTTTTTTTTGGGTAGAAGGTTCCGTGGAAAAGGTGGCCGAATTCCACGGGTAGATACTGAGCTGAATGGCTACTCATCACGGGCAATATATAAATGATCTTTCAAGAAACATGAGAGGCAAGGAGCACAGTACAAGGTGTGGCCTGGGCCAGAGAGGAGGCCAATGTTCTAGATAATCTAAGGCTCAAGTAGTACAATAAACATCAATCACTCAACGTAGAGTTTATTGTATTAGCTGAGTCATCTAGACAATGACCCAGCAACGGAGAGGTGCAAAGCAATTAGTTCACACCGAGTAGAAATGTTTTCCAAAACCGTATATCTCTATCTGTCATCAATAATAAACGGAAATAACCCACAACGCCGCACATACACCATGTAACCAATCTACGCATATTTCCCCCATAGCTCCTCTACCAACGCCAATATTCATACAAAAATACGCTAGGTAAAAGCTAAATGCATTTTGTTAGATACAAGGAGACCGTTTTCCATAATATAATTCGTATGAATACGTGAAAAGCACTAAATTTATAAAGTTAGCCTAGACTCCATTGGGATTTATAATAACAACTAAATTTAACTTACAGTTATATTGAAGTAAGATCAGATATCTTCGTCAGACGGTGAAAAATTCAGCAAATCTTCTTCATAATTACACGTTGGATTCTCTTTGTTGTCATACTCTAAAAATTCAAACTCAGATTCATCGAAAAATTCCTCGTATTCTTCGGCTTGTTTATTAAGAACGTTTGTGTAGATAAATGGCTCGGATTCATTCACGTCCTCTTTCGAAATGCGTGAGGTGTATGGATAGTCAACTGGTAAAGCTTTTCCTTTGCAGATGTGACCCATGGGAGTATGGGAAAAATCTTGGCCATTGTAGCGAAGTGAAAGCCACTCTTGAAGGAATTGGAGGGGTTCCGACGTGAAATGACATCTTCTTTCCGCCAGCGAGAGTGATTTTAATGCTAAAAGATCCGGGAAGTCTTCGTGTATCTCAATGATCCTCCCGTCTTGTTCTTGCACACCTAAATAATTTAGAATGTCAGTACACTCAAAAGAGTCGAAATAAAGTCGTCCTGAGAGAATTCCTAATTCAATTCGCAACCATATAGGAGCCTCCCAAGTTGTTGGAAGGGGTGGAACAACAAAATTATTCATATCATTAAATGATAACATTTCTTTTGTCAAAGGAGTAGCATAGGAAAGAAGATGAACGACAGATCTTCCATCCCTGAGAAATGGCATTATCAGTTCCATCTCCTCTGGAATTATAACCATAGCAACTTTATTGTGGGGACTCCACAAAATCCAATGGACAGGGCGCTATTTAAGTTAGCAGTAATTTTTATGTTAAAAAATCAAACTCACATATAAATGATCTGCGCGGCTGTGGGAAACTAGATGAACAGTTTTTCCAAATTCAACCGAGATATACAGTTTCTGAGATGTAGCTGATTGGTCAAATACATATTTTCTCCCAATTGAGGTTCTAGCAATGTATTCAAAAGCTAACTCATAACCACGAGCATCAGGCGTAATAATACCATTCAGCACAAAATTAAGTAAATCTTTATCGAGACGTAAGAATTTAAGCGGCTGATAAAAAGTAGGTATTTGAACATGTCGAACATTCACAACTTCATTGGCAATTTGCCGCTCTTGTTCTACTTCCTGAAGGGCTGAGTTAACGTGGCCTCCACTCGAATCTTGACGTATTCTATCTATTTCCTGCAACCTTTGACTGAAATTTGTAATTTTAGGAATTTTATTGATTGATGAAAATTTTTTGGGTATTCTTTTTGTTCCGTACAAGTTTTCTAATTGGTGATCTTCTACATGTCGAATTACACGCAAATAATTTTTCGAGTCTGAACTGTTAGGATCAAAAACCTTTGGGTATGTTAGTACCGCTTGTGTTCGTTGACAGAACTCAAATCCTTGTACGCAGTAGCAAGGTAAGAGGGTTTCTATTCCCAGGCATGTCTGCTTAAGTAGCCAACAAATGACATCAAACGAGGTTATTTTCTTATATTCCAGAGCATTTTTCTGAAGATTGAGAATGCTGCGATGTACTTCTGGTGGGGCAAAAAATTCAATGGATTGCGTGCTCCCTAGTTGACGCATTCTCATTGCAGCTATATCTTTGAATTAGTCGATCTTTAACCTTTCATCCAAGAGGCAAAAGATGTTTTATTTTTAATTATTTCGTGTGAAAAAAAGGGATAAGGCTTACCTTGAACTGTGTGATCCTTAGTCTGGTTTGGTCCTAGTGTCAGGGCTGCCTTCGCATGAGGGGGGAATTTTAAGTCTGTACCACGGGTATGAAGCTGGTCTAGATAAACGAGGCACCTTCCGAGATTATCAACAAATGGCGATGCCTGGAATGGCACCTTTCTTCCTCCGCGATACATTATCTGCGGTCTATTGTTGTTGTCGAAGTAAAAAGCTGCTAGTGCAAATTCATCAATGGAAAGCCAAGACCTTACCAGGTCTTCATTGTTTAGTTCCATTATTTGCGCACCAGCATCAAGCAAAATCTTAATATTTTGGCCTGATACTTTCTTAAGTAGATCAAGTTCAGATAGACGATTCCCTGCTGAGTCAGCTGCAAAATGATAAGTTCTATTTCGATTCGTTAAAAGGTATGTCAATACCTCAGCATTTGTGCGTGACAATACAGGCAAATCTTTTTGAAAAATTGTCATTGGAAGTAAGTCTTTCCAATCATTTGTTCCACTAAAGCCGGTTGTCAGAGGACATGTATTGATTCCTACTTCTTCAGAGTGATTCCAGGCCATTGAAGGAATATCCCAGCTTGAAGCCTGAATTCTGTATTCAAACTGCTTGAGGAACCTTGGGAAAACACAGTTGTTCAAATAGAACTTAATGATGTTGATATCGAGATGTATAAATCGCCAAATTTCCTCGAGCAGTGTCTCATCTTCGACAGTTATTGCACTCCAATTTCGAAGAGGAGCAGGTAGATTAGAGTCTTGTGTAAGTTGATTATATACCTGAATAGGATCGCCAGTCTCGCGAATATGTCTAAATATCTCCTTGAGGTGATCAGTTTTGATTCCTTCATAATAGAAAGATAGACATGTCAAGATTATAACAACATCCTGATGGCCCCATTCTGAATTCTCACTTGGGCATCCTTTCGCATAGTACGGAACTGCAAGAGGTTCTCTATTTGGATGAAGGCCATACTGAACGTTCCAACGCTTTTTAAGTGAAGCGATTAAAACTTGGTACGCCAATAGACCTCTGAGTAAATATAGTGCTTTTCGGAAGGTTGGGTCCATCTCGGACAAGAGCTCGACTTTATTAACGGTACTTTCTGGTATTGAACTTTTTGATATAAAGTCCCTGATCGTGTTCTGATTGTCTGGCTCAAACCTAGTGATTATTTGACTGTAACCCGAACAAATATCTTCTACCAATCTTGCCAATAGTTGCTCCTCACTCTCCTCGTTCACAAAGAAGAATAATGGGAAGTTACCGGATCCTTTATTGGTGATAGAAACACTACCTGGATTTTGAGTTTCAATGTTTTTCAGGTGAAAGCTAACCTGCTCGAGTAGGTTTTCAATGATTTCCCAGCGGTTTGGGTTGCCATCAATGGCTTTATGCGTGCCAGAAGGGTAGATAAGTTGATTTCGGACCGACAAAATTTCGTCGCATTCATCAATTACATCACGACAATTCTTTGCAACGAAATTTTGGACCTACTAAGGATTAATTTTCGTTATTAAACAAGGGATTAAAATTTTTTGGCAGTGGTTTCATTTCAATATCACGTACCTCGATCATCTCTTCAGCCTCTGCAAACTTTCCATCTAATATAGCTTGATCACCTGATAGCTTAAATGATAATATGTGATCTGGTTGAGCAATTAAAATACCTGCCGATATTTGAATGGATTGTAGTTGCTCTCTAAATTTTTTTGATATCCCCGAAATACTAGAGAGTTTTCTAGAAAAAGGCACATGTTTTATTTCTCGCCCTACGAGGCCTCCGAGCCTTGTCTGGAGAAGTTGTGTTGTTTGCATTAAGAGAGCTTGCGTGACAATGACTCTCATTAAATTGTTTCCGTCAGCCAGAGTTGCAGCGGCCATTGGCATTATACAAGAAGTTTTCCCTATTGGATTAATTAGCATAAATATTAGGTATATTTCAAATTAATTGGCTTACCCTGTCCCATGTTCATCTGGAGAACTGAATTGTTGGCACTGTCAGGAGATATTGTTGCGTTGGCTACATCAACCTGACCAGGTCGTATTAAAATATTACTATCAATCTCTAATAATAGCCAGTCAGGCTTTTGAGTCGGTTCCCAATTTGTGTGACCCAAATTTTCCAATTCTTCTTGTAAAGTTTGGGTTTTTCTTTTCAAAAGTGCACGTCTTATGCGGTAAAGTTTTTGAAGCCTAGTGATTGAGATAGCGCACTCAACAATCAATTCTTTAACGTTTTCTCCGAATTCATATTTCGAAATTGATCTAATCGTTTCTAGTAGACTAACTGGTTGCATGCAAGGCCATAGACCTGCCAATTTAAGCCATTCTGTTCGGATAGGGTTGACAAGGTAACATAGGTAATCCAATTTACAAACTCTACCGTTGACAATATGACTTGCCTCGTCAATTAGTTGATTGATCTCATTAAAATCGAGCTCTGGATTTCCATGAAGTTTACGTCCTTGTTCCTCCAATGCATGTAGACTTTCTAACAGATTTTTTGCATAAGCATTTTCTACATCTGAATTAAAAAGACGCTCGTTTGAAATAATCTTGTGTAAATCATTTATCTCTGGAATTGATTTTGATTTTGATAAGGTCTCAGACTGCTCGGAATATGTGAGATTCCGCACGTAGCATTCAGAAAAGTATCGCATCACCAGATCCTTAGAATCTCTGCTTTCATTGTTCTCATCACTAATATTTTTCTTCAGTAGATCCGAAATTGATGGTAATTCTATCCTAACTGTATCCTCAAGTAAAAATTTCTTCCCGAGCTGATTTATTTCTGAATTGATATCTGGAAAGCATTTTTGAGGATAATTAAATTCATCAATAAATATCTGGACATGTGATAAATATATGGAAAGATCAAAATTCTTATAAGCTCGGCGCCATTCAGGTCGTATTCGCTTTAAGAGCTCATCAACGTCAATTTCATCTGCATCGATAAAGTCATCTGCTGTTGGTTCCTCGCAAGGCCATTGTTCGAGTAAGAACTTTGCGAATCTTTGTGATTCCTTTTGACTAACGATCTCATCAAAAAAATCGTCATTTGATCTCATAAGTTTGAGTATTGTTGTGAGGCTGAGCTTGTCATCTTTTCGGAAGTTTTCATAGAATGACCATATGGGTGGTTCCAAATTTTTCAACTTGTCAGAAACGGCGTATGCTACTAAGAAATTGATAGCATCAGTATCTGCCCTTTCTCCAAATAAGATGACCCCAAGAAGAAAAGTTAATTTGAACTTGTTGCTTTGATCAATATTTCTAACCACATGTAGTAGCGGCCCCCAATTGTCCGAAACATCAAGTGAACAAAGTTCTGACAAATATACTTTATTAAACGGTTGACCAAGCCCTTGAAAATTGGACCAGTCCGTTAGAACATCATGAAGTTTTCTTGTGTGATTCTTATGATATTTCCATTCACGGATATCATCAGCACATTTACGAACAATCTCCATCTGGTTTCTAAACAAACTAAGTGGGCGTCCTGGATATACTTTCTCCATAGTAATTGTTGCAGTGGCGAGGCTAGGTCTTTCGTAAAGACTTCTTCTTCTCCAACTACGTGAGTTCAAGCAATTTTCTCCATTTTTGGGATAATTATTCAAGGGTCCAATTCCTTCATAGAATGTAGTCAGCTCCTGAGATTTCTGAAAAATTTGGTCGACAGCGGTTCTAAGTCCATCGTGCTGAATGCATATAGTAAGGTCCGTTTTCCAAACAGTCATTTGCATAAGCTTAGTGTTCTCAGGATAGAAATCTCTACGAGGACTTAATCTTGCTATTTTCTCCAACGTTTTACTTTGTAGGATAGATATGGGCATAGCTGGTTGGCTCAGACCAGAATTAAGTATATGGAATGCCTCTTCAATTCCAGTGCGGTTTGTCAATGGATCCGGTTGTAGTGAAGACGTAGATGCGTGAATAAGTGCTTTAAGATATTCTTGATTGGGATCTACCGATTCAATGCGCCCCAAGATATTATTGACTGAGAACCGGGCATAATTACCTGATTTAGTAAATTTAACGTTTACATGAGGCCCAGATCGTTCGTATAAAATTTCACCAATGGGAACTAAAACGCATCGATTTTCGGTCAACATTATTGTTGGTATAGAATCGAAATTATGGTAAATAACTTCGCGCAGCACTAGCTTGGATTCAAGACCATACCACGTGCCAATGTCCTGATTCGAATCAATCTGCGACTCTAACTGTGGGCATTCTAACGTTCTATTACTATTGACATGAAATTCAAGCTTGAGACGATTTAGTGAAATTTTTAGTCTGTTATATTCATTTCTCCAGGCCATAATTTCATTTGGATTTTCGACATGTTTGAGAATTCGACTTATGGCTTTAAATAAAAGAGAGTTAGGATCAAGTAAAGTTTTGGTACTTCGTTTAAAGTTCTGTGTAGCTAGCCGTGTAGATAAATCAATAATCCAATTTGATGACATATGTTTCAGCGGTTGTGATATGGGTCGAATTTCAATTTTATAATCTTTTAAGTGAAGCCAGTGTACATGATCATTTATTAAATTTGAGGGTAGATCATTCTTCACACCTATGAACTTCTTTGCGGGAATTAATTCCATGATGTCCTCTCCTTCAACAAGTTGAAATATAGTATCCTCATTTTGTATCTTGATATGTATTTCTTGATTGTCATTAATTCCATTGACTTGGTAGTCCATACCATACCGACATGAAGGTAATAGAGTTACGTGGTCAAGATTGGGAAGGTGCTGCAATATAGCACTCTTCTTTAAGTAACCCGGGATTTGTTTTTTTGCCTTATCTTTGAATTGAACAAGTCCTGTGGGCAAGCTATAGTAAAATTCTATCCCGTTAAATTCTGATGACAGATCTAGCCTGACCAGAATCTTGATCCACCAATTGTAAAGTCCAGATAAATTTTTATACTCAATATTTTCCGAGTGACAATTATTCCCGAATAAAGGGGCAACAATCCCGTCTCTGATTACTTTCGTGCTCAAGCTTAGATTTAGCAGTGGTTTCAGAATGTGGGCTAAATTGAAATCGCGGATATAAGCTGCTTTCAGTGATAATGGAAGGTCCGAGATATCATCTTTAATGGAGTCGTTAATGGAAATTGAAGTTTCTAAGTACCTGGAAGCTAGGTCCTCGGATATTATGGAATTATTTTGAAGAACAATAAAGGTACGCCTAAAAAGAAGCGAAGACCATACACTGTAGTGAGGTCTTCCACTTTGATTGTAATGAAGTCCGTGAGAGTTCCATTTTTCATACTTGGATTTAGTATGCCATTCCCATGTAATCTCGCGAGCTAGCTCAATCAATTCCAGGCTTTCTCTTCTATATTCAGAGGCTGCAAACTCATACAACCTGAGCGAAAGAGTAATGAGAGTATCCATACAGTAAATCTCTTTTGCTTTTAGTTTTGATGATATATTTCTTAGCCGCGTTGAGATCAATTCCAAAAGCCTTTTACAAAAATTTTGGTTTGAGAATATTTTGTGAACACCACCGCGGATGTCTGTTTTACTGTATGGACCTGCCTGCAGTGCCAAAAGATTTATTACTGAACTTGCGGCTTCAGTGCTTAAATTTATATTCGATGAGCCCAACTCTATCAACATGTGAGGCCAGCGGTGCTCATACCCTAAATGTAGGGTTTGTAGCGATAGGTATTCCTGAATAGTAGCAGTATTAGGACACGATGCGCGACTTGCAGCAATTGAGTAAGATGTCAATGATTTCTGATCTACTGCAAAGTAGGGTGATGTTTTAAGCGATGCATAAATGGAGTTTTCAGGCAATAACAGCTTACTGTGGTGTGAAAATGTTAGTTCTGGAATCTGATCAGTCCAAAACATTTTAGAAGTATCGTAATATGTGTAATTGGCTGCATTAGGGACAATTATATCAGCCAAATCAACAGGTAGTTTAACCTTTGAAAAATTGGTCATTGAGAATGTTTTTGTCGAAGATACTAATTCAAGTTTGCAAGATCTATCAATCATTAGGATTATGACGTAAAATATTAAGAAGTTAAATTTAAGATTGTAATACCTTGTAGATTTTTTATATTGGGATAATTTTTGATAATTTTTCAGTTCAAACGCCACCTTTCGTGTGCTACAGCTTTGGTATTTATCCATCGCGAAGCAGGAAATGATGCTCCATAGTGTTTCTCTATAAACCGAAAATACTTCTGGACATAAGAGCTCAAACACTACTGTTTTTTTCTGAATTTCGCATACAGGAAGTGGCCACTCAAAGACATCAATTGATGTCTTCTTAATTTTTGTTCTCAGACGGCACTTGCTACAGTATTTCCAGTGATTAGAACTTGTATCTGCATGAGAAAGCACCAATTCTTTCTCGACCATCTGATTATAATCACTTGATAATGAAGAAAGATCTCTTTTCTTTTGCAGTTTTTTCCCTTCAGCATCTCGTTCGATTTGTGAAAGAAGTGATCTTAAATCCGAATCTTTTTTGGAGCTATCAAAATATCTGACGGCAAAGCAGCTCTCGTCTGGCTTGTCGAAAATAGAGTTGGTAGTTTGATAGCATTCATCTGACCTCTTAATAAGATATTTTCGTATTATATCCAAACGATCAAAATCTTTAATTTCCACCAACTGTAATACATCTGTAATGTTATGAGTGAGCTTAGGGCTGTATTCCCTGAGTAATGGGAAGAGATCTAAAGTTAGTTTATCCAAACCCATCCAAAGTTCAAGTATTAAGAGCAACATTTTACTTTTTTGCACAGGTACTTTATCGTAATGAATTCCAACTTTCGTAATATAGTTTTGAATATCTTCTGCTATAACAAAACAGCGCTTTTTTTTTAAATCGGCTTTGGTATTTGGCAACAGTTTTTTATTTTCTGTCACTAATAATACTTCGTGCTCAGCAAGCTTTTGATATTTGTCAACAAATTGAAAGGAAAATGATGATTCCGCCTTCTTTAGATTATCCAGGCATGAAGTGGGAGTTTCCGGGTAATTATCACGAAAGCTTAAAACCTGATCGATATATGTTTGACTATTGGCCAGTTGAATTTTACAGTGAAACTGTGCAACTCCCCGTGGAAATTTGATCTCATTCTGATTCCCTAAAAACGTCTTATAACTTTCCCATTGATTCTAATATAATTTGGTTAATTTCTAGGCTTTGCCAATTTTGAAGTTATTGAGGATTAGATAAATCAGAATTCTAGACGAAATTAACGTACTGATATTTTATCAATTGCACTTGTTGATATTGATTTGATTAATGGCTCGATATTTTCCCAAAGTTGCCTGTAATAGCTGACGCTTGAATCATCAAGTCTATTTTCGTAGCTGCTAAGTTTGTCGATGCGTCTAATTAACTTTTTGTGCAGATGAAATAGGAGCTCGTGGTCTAACTCATCTGAGGCGACGCATTTTTCGAGAAGTCGAGCATGAACTAGACACTGTAAAAGCTTATACTGAGCTATACCAAGCTCCGGACTCATAATGTTTGAAAGCTGTCGTTCAATCGCTACTCGAAGAAGTAGCCAAAAAGGGGAACGACGCCAAGGTAGCTTGGCTGCTTGCCCACTCGAGCAAACATCGTCTCTAACACGTTTTCGGAGTAGTGGAAGATCGCAAGACTTACCGTGTACTTTAAGGATAGTCATAAACATACCTGTAATGAGAGCAGGATCAACTGAGTTCCGGGTTTCCTGGACTTTGGTTCTGGCTTTCAAAACCTGATAAGAAAATCTCTTGATATTTTCTTTGCTGGCCATCTCCAGAAATCTCGCAACCTCTTCCTCAAAGTCGTGCTCTTCAAGTAATCTTCTAGGTATTACTGCTGCTGAAGTAGGAAAATCCCAAACCAAAGCGTTCTCGGCTTCGATAACTATCTCAGAAGGTGCAGAGGCTTCCGAGACTTCGAATACGAGGGATTCGCCGTCGTCACTATTTGAAGAGGTTAGCCGATGTGTATTACGAGTTGAATGATAAGAATCTAGTTCGTACTCACTTTTGTTCTATTCTTACCATGATTCCAGCATTTTGTTCTGTTACAAAGTACAACACGAAATTCGATCCATGCAAGTCTCGAAGAGAAGTAATTATAGTGTTTTTGTCCAAACTTCCACAAGTATTGACTTCAGAGGTCTTCTTCAGGGACTGATAAATGGATTTCCATTGTTCGAGTTGCGATATATCTGGAATAGCACAAATATCGTTGGTTGCATTGAGAAGACTTTTTAAGAGCAATAGATTAATCTCCTCTACGTTAGGCTCTTGAAAGCCAGGTAAGTTTGTAGGCAAAGCTATATGATAGAGGAGAGATGTTAGGTTATTTTCAGAGATCTCTGACATATTGGATGCCGGAGAGTGGAAAATACTCGTGTCTACTTAATCTGAAAAGTTGTTGGCAAAATCAAGTGTAAAAGATATTGTGAAATTGTAATTTTGATTGCAAAACTTCCATCCGAGCTCGAAATGTTTCTGAGTTACAAGACAAATATGTCGCCATTCAGAGGAGAATACAAGTGGTTTTTATATGTTAAGATAAATACATACTCGAAAAACTAAACCAAGACAAAGATTAAAATTAGCCTTTAGAATGAACAAAGAAATAGTGATATCAACCGCATTAAATTGCCTTAGCGTGCTAGATAATAACTATTATGACGAGCTAACTTTGATGTGACCACATGAAGATTTTAAAACTGTAGATTTAAAGAGTCTTTAGATGAATAACTTAGATAATAATTGACATTATCTCGCCGGTGAATAGGTACATTTCATACAACAAACTCAATCGGCTGAGTTTATGTCATGATAGACGCCCAAGAATTCGGACGATGGATGAAATCTGGACCTCTTCACCAGGTCATTCACTAGCCGCCAGTTCCATCCTGGGTAATAACCTAGATTTTTTGTTCAATATTTGAATAATGAAAACTGGCAGAAATTGAAGACATGAATTTTCTAAGAAATTGACTAAGTCCAATCAATCTGTTTGATACTATCAAATAATGGGTCGTAAGTAATGTTTCAAAGGGTTGAGACGCCAACTAACCAGGATTATGGTTCGGTAAAGACAGCAGGGTCAACCTTTACAGTCACTAAAAATGTTCAAAGGAGAAAAAGATTCGATTAAAAATTCACTAGAAATAAATACTCTTGTGAGTCGGACACTCTGTCTAAATTCTCACTTAGCCAACTTGAAATGAATGTTCTAAGTATTACACAACGATTGCAATAGAGGGCATCCAAAAGTTGAGACGCTTAGCTTTCCCATTCATAGTCAGTCATCTCACTATATGCCAGGAAAGAATGGTAAGTAGCAAACCTGTAAATAGTGGAAATATATGAGAATAGCTGAAATCTTATCACTCCTATTAAGAACAAACTTTAAAGAGATGAATATTTTATGCATGGATTTGATACACTTTTGCACTAAACCGATCTATCAGTGAGTGCGAATACGAGCGAATTGAAATTTAGAGGCTGTTTATTTTGTCAATAGGTGCCTGATTTCCATGAAATGCTTCGAAATCCACTTGGAATGGTAAAAATTTAGAATTGAAAGAAAGACAAGATGACTGTTGTGGAAAATAACGAAAATCCCTACCGGCTCGCCCTAATCTTCCCTCAAATGTTTGGAAATATGGCCAGCAATTAAACACATTATAGCCAAATTTTTAAACGATAGTTGCCTCCTTTCTTCTTTAGATTGTTGCTCTCTATACAACTATTTTTATGTTTCATCAAGCCTTCAATATTTTTTTAAATAATCTGAGCTTTCAGCCTATTTGTTTAATATAAATTTAGAGGCTTTGATGGAGTGATATCTTTAATATTACTCATAGTTCGATACTGATCTTGAGTAAGTTCGCTTCGCGGGGAGCAGTATGGCGAGGGTCACACATCCAAAACAGGAGAAACCACTATTAATTAAGGTTTCAGTTAACTATTGTGTGCCGTGATACTTCTGAAGCCACTTTCACTATAGTCTCAGATTAAAGATCTGTTCAGCATCTGAGATAGATATTAACCATCAACGTATCGATAAATTTTTGCCTGCTTATACCGCTGTACAATAAGATTTCGAGCTTAAATTTTGGGAGAATAATAACTTGAATTAGAATTAGCAGCCCGTATGTGTATAGTTAACAGTGTAACAGCATCAAAGTTGTTGGCTAAAGGGTCCATTTGCCAGTAATGGAACAAATCATCTTGAAGAGTCTTTTTCCTCGGTTGCTTACTATTAGTACTGATAAGTCTCGCATTTATTGTAATGTGTCCACGGCTTACCTGTCAAAGAGATCTATTCTCGGTCAGTCTCCCACTTCACTCATAGACTGATGATGGAATTATATCATTTCTTTGATAAATGGATGTGTTTTCGGCATGACCATTGAAATTTTGGGGCTCGGAGTAAGTCTCGCAAGTATGTCGGGTGACAATTGAACGTAAGTCGACACTAGCGCTACATGTCACTCTAAGCGCCATTGGGCCAGCTAAATCGATATTCTGAGTGAGCAGAATTATGTACGAAATGCCATCAAAGATGTAGAATAGAGTGCCTCATAATTCCCAATCGAATCTTATTTCTAGTTCCAAAAAGATAATGGTTGGGTCTAGGAAATTTGGGCGAGTGTAGCCTTGTTACCAGGACTCTGTAGGGGCCATTCTGCCTGTTGGTTTGGTTTTGTTGGTGCTACTTGGGTCGATAACAGTCCAGCACAACATGCTTCTTTTAGTCCCAATCCACACCTCCTACAAATGTTCTATCCTATTTCACTACGAAAAATTATCTCTGATTCCACCCGTTCGTATTTAGCCGGCAATATTTCTGTGGATCTGAAATAAATTTCGAGGCTTTGGAATTTTGTAAACTTTTTCGTTACTGTCTAGGCGATATCAGTAAACACAATGCCGTTTAACAAGCTAGGCTGGGTTAAACCATTGTTTGCAAACGACATGACGCTGTTATGGGTACCTTTCACAGTTGGTTGTTATTGCTACCGGAATTTGAACATCAATTCTCCTCTTTAACAGTTGATCGCCTGTGAAGGTTTTCGAATCTCTCATCAGCCAATATGTCAATATGACCCGGTTTTAGTTGAATGCTTTTTCTGCCACGTATTCACTAGTTGCCGTGTAGATTAAAGTGCGCTTTTCAGGGCATGACCCTCATCATCTATTGGAATATATTAAATAACTTCATTTTAACACTGAAATAGTAGCCAGAATTTTGATGGTAAATTCTAGAAGTCCTTCATAGTCTTAGACTCAGAAGGGACTATAATAAAAATTCTTATCTTGAAGTGCGCTGTAATTGAATCTGAAGTGATGCTAGCAGGGGTATAACGAGATTTACCTGACCCTAGTCAATGAGAGGTCTCTCATCCCCCCACACGGGTAGGTTTCAGGCTGATTTCTATCCTTAAATAGTGCTACTTCTTCTAGCGCTGAATTGAATCCAGGAGGAGATGTTCAATCAACTGCCAAAAGCTTCCTCCTGACATCTACTTGCTTCGCATGCTTCTTGTGTGGACCATCGGGACTTGGTAGAAGTAATGACTATATGCCCTGTCGGTTTGGGTGACCCGCTCGTGGGAAAGTAGAGCGGGCTCATAGAATCCAATCAGTTCAGCTGTAGGGCGACATTGGCCTGCAGCCGCGAGTCTATTCGACTTTACCGCCTTTGCTTGGTACACGCTATGGGCTGCATGAGGGCACTGAACTCCCGACGACCTTTTGTCTTCGGCCGATCCCCTCTCGCCCCTCACCCTCCGCCGCCCTCGTCTTTGCGGAGCTCCCTACGCCGACGCATTACCGCCGCTCCCAGCTCTAGCTGATCGGTCTCTTCTCACTCCTCCTACTTCTCCTTACCATGGCATCGTGGAATCCAGTCTTTGAGCCTGGCAAAACCGCCGTCATCACTGGCGCCGCCTCAGGTATTGGGCTTGCGCTCGCTCGCAAATGCGCGGGCTACGGCATGAATGTCATCATGGTAGATATCGACGCGGCAAACCTCGCTGCCGCCAAGGCCACGATGACAGGCCCCGTCGAGACCGTCACGATGGATGTGGGCAAAATCGAAGACTATCAGGCATTGCAGTGCAAGATCACAGCGGAATATAAAGGTAGTTATGGCATCATTCCATTCTGCCCCTCCCTCCAACCAGCCTCCATGCTTACTACTGACGTAACCTAATTAAGGAACGATATCTTTGCTTGTCCTCAACGCCGGCATCGCCCAGAAATCAAATTGGGCTGACTCGTCATACTTCGAAAATGTACTGCAGGTCAACCTCTTTGGCATCATCTACGGCCTCAATTCACTGTTGCCCCTCGTCACGCGCAGCTCGAGCGTTGAGGCACCAGCCGCCATCGTTATGACCGGCTCGAAACAGGGCATTACGAACCCGCCCGGCAACCCTGCCTATAATGCGTCTAAGGCTGCGGTCAAGGCGCTCGCCGAACACCTCGCCTTCGACCTCTCGAAGCTATCACCTACCACCTCCGTACACCTCCTAGTGCCAGGCTGGACTTTTACGGGTATGACGGGAAGTGCGCCGCGCCAGGATGTAACGGCCTCGCGGCGCGAGAAACCGGCTGGTGCCTGGATGCCGGAGCAAGTCGTCGAGTACCTCGAAGCGAAAATGCGCGAAAAAAAGTTCTATATAATTTGTCCTGATAACGATGTCAACGAGAGGTTGGATCAAGCACGTATCTCGTGGGCTACAAACGATCTAGTATTGGGCCGGCCGCCGCTGACGCGGTGGAGGGAGGAATGGAAGAATGAAAGTGAGGAATGGATACGTCATGCACAATTTCCCGATCCAAATGCAGCCCACGAGACACAAGGGTAAGCAGGGCAACCTCACAGCTTAAGGTATAAGTAGGGCGAAACACAAGTCTATTTATAACGGACATTTAGACCTTGGTTCTTTGACTGACCATTAAATTGACACTCTCTCGCACACTATTACTAGTCCAGATACTATTTTTACCTCCCTTTCTCCAATCATCGCCACTCGCGTCTTGGCCTCCTCGCGTGGCGACCCCAGAAATTACCTCAAGGTCACGCTTCTGGGAACTGAGCCACCTCATGATAAATTGTGTAGGGTCCTGGGAGAGGGCCTCGAGGAAGCCGTACTTGGCCTTTGAGTTATAGATGCGCTGCACCAGAAGAGCAAGATGGTCATGCAGCTGGGCTATTTCGCGCAGGTTTTGGACGTATGTTGGGTTTGCGAGGTAGGCAGCGAAGGCTGTTTTGAGTGGGTCATCCATCTGTACTTGAACGTCGTAGATTGTGGCCTGCGGGCTCTCGTGAAAGGCCTTGTCGACTCGTATAGTATAAGGCAGTTTGATAGGTGGCATAGGAGCCAGATGCTGATTGATGCTTTCAGCGAGGTAGGGAATGTAGCCCTTATCACGTTGGAGAAGCTATCAACGTTAGCGGTAGCCTGCTGCCAGATGTAGTTAAAGCTGTACGTACGGCTTTTAAACGGTTATCGCACTCAAAAGACCGCTTCTCGTCATCATCTTGCAGGCCCATAACCTTGATGTAGTCCCAAACGCCCATGAGGGCTTCGGCGCGCGTTGCGACATCGGTATCAAGTATCTCGGCGAGGGCGGGCCGGAGTAAGAAGCGCTCGGGCGTCTCATCTCGGAAGAGGTTAATTGTGATATTCATATTCTCGTCGCCGGCTCGCTTAAATTCAAGCTGGTCAAATTCTACCGCTTGCGCTGCGGTGTTCGACTTTTGCCACTCTATGGGCCGATCGGAGTTATCTTTGCCTCGATTCCGCTCAAAGTCAGCGCTGAGTGCCTTGATGAAATGAGAGAATCGTGGGCGTGTACTCTCGGGCGCGGTGTGTGGCGAAGCCTCGTCGTCGCTGACGTCACTTTCAAACGCCTCATCCTCATCGAGTAGGCGTGCCTCAATCTTGACGCGATAGACGGGCTCGAGGTGTGTACTGAAGTCAAAGGTATCAACGTCAAGTGAGTCAGCCTGCCATGCCTGGTTTTCAACTGTGTTTCCGATCCAAATGCGCAGCGTACGAGATCGCTGGAGGATGGTGTCAATTGAGGGTAGTGTGCAGAGGGTTAGGGCAAACAGCTACCTTAACATTGCGGTTGACGAAATCTTGAATATCGAGGCGCTTGCGAGTTATTGTTGAGTCAAGTCGACGCTCGACTTCTTTGAGCTGTGCATACCGCTGGGCCCCGTCGCCGATGGTGAGAGCATCAAGGCCGTCGGGTAGATTGGTATCGGTGGGCTTGCGGCTCGAAAATTTGAGGCGATCGTGAGCTGGCATGGCTACTGTTGCTGGTGCAGGCACAGCAGCTGGTGTCATGGGGCCTGGCGCGTGCGTGGTAGCGCCCATGGGTCCTAAAAATGTCAGTTGTCGACGAGATTATAGATTAGTTGGCGCGTGGAAAGAGGAAGTCGCGTACCGATTCCTCGCCGCGCCGCACTCGTTGCGTGAGGCGATCTTTGGGGCGGCTGCTGTGGGAAGGAGCGATAATTATGCTGCATGGTAAAGATTTTTGAAATTGTGTTCCCAGGATTTCCTAAGAGGCGGTTGGGGGTGGGAGCTAGACGTCAATATGAATGCCGTCGCTATCTGGCAGTCGGAACTGTGGTCGGTGAGGCTGAAAGTCTATGGTAATAGTTCTGCCATGTCTGTCACGTGGCCTGCCCAGCTTCCATTGAAATTTGCACTCGAAGATAGAAAATGGTTTGAGTATACCACTAAACAGACATGTATAATGGTGGCGGTCCGATATCAACATCTATCTAAATCTCCTTTCATCACTTTTCTGCAAATGGTGGTTCAAGTTATGCCCTACAGCGCAGGGCTACTCAACCCGATGTAGGTGGAGGTGGTGGTACTGGTTAACCCTAGTCCTTGAGTTATTGTTGGTATAAACGCAATGCACTAGCCACTATGCACGTTTACAAATTTCAACCCGACTGTGACATGGCCTGTGCCGGCCTGTGCCGGCAGACGAATTCTTCACCTTCTAGTTGTGCTGGTGTAATCGCTCAATATGCTCTGCATATCTGGGATAGCCAAGAAGAATCGTATTCGAATCGAAGTCAAAAGCACTCACAAGCACATCTAAAATCGACGACTTCTCGTCAATGTCGGACCTGACATTCTCACGCAAGTCCTCCACCTCAATCTTACTACACCACCTCGCCTCAAATACCGATAATGGCGTTACTCCAATTGCAATCGGGCATTTACCTCATAAAAAACCGGCCATCTCCCACCACACATTACGATGCTATGTATACCCGCGAGGAGAAAACTAAGTCGTAATCTACAAAGCTCGGGTCTTGGTCTAAAGGGGCTTCACATCCTGATGGAGGACAGGTAGCTGGGACGTGGGACGAACGAGTGAAGAGGTTACAAATGGGCATGTTGGGACGCACATTTTTCGAGTATTTTCAAATTAAAAGTGTCTATGGGTGCAGAGGCAACGATTCCGGATAGTGCAACCGACACTCTAAAAACAGGCTACAATGGAAGGTGTTTTGGCCCGCTTCCTGGTCGTCATCTCCCCGAATTAAAGTCTGGGTAGCTTGGATACCTACCTCACTCGAGATAGGGAGGAGTGTGAGGCCATATCTCGCGCGGCGGCTATATACAAGATGACAAAGGCATGTTAGGGTAGCCAGAGGTTTTTCTGTTTTCCCCCTGGTGGATATTAACAGTTGAGGGAAGGGTGGAAGTCCTTAGCACCAAGGTCTCGAGTGGCATCAGCAAATGCACCCACTACATGAGTAGCCCAAATGTAAGACTGAGTTATTGTCGTATGCAGTCGCCGGGGAAGGGCTAGCCTTCTCCATGTCATGCTCTTTGAGTCCAGTGCTTGTGCCCGTCACGAATACTTTCTTTCATTTATTGTGACATGGCCTGTTAAACTGACATGTAGAACAGTCGCGCTCGTCGTTTACTAATATCAAAATCGTCACGGTTCCATAATTACGAGGAATCAATAGTCTCATCATTGATATACTAGCGTCGCGCCGAAGCGGTTGCTTCTCTTTGCATCTGGATGCCAGGTACCGAAGCTATTAATGATTTATGTCTTAAAAGCTGACTTCGCTTCTCGATTCAATAATGTACTCATCCAGCATCTGCAAGTGGCATTGATTTATTTCCATCTTTCAATAACCGAATCTAATCAAACATAGGTTTTCTGCTTGAGATACCTTGGCTACCTCCTTGACAGCTTTGCAGTATATTTGTGTCAGTCTCTATATCCGTCCGTCAACTGGTAGTTGCTACTCCTTCGTCGACTTGTGTCTTGGCATTATTTCATTTTAGTAATATATGAGAGACAGGAATAAGCTACCGGCCAAGAACAACCTATTAGAGATACTTATAACGATAGTCAATATGTGCATTCCAAATAGATACGAATTGTTATCTATGGATGTCGAAAAATATGGTTATGTAGAGACAATTGTCGCTATCCACCATATCCGACTGTCGGCGGAACATTGGAGAATAGTTGATCCATTGGCTCACGTAAGCTAGACGCGCACGCGAGCTATTAGTTAGATATTGGCTTAGCAAACTAGAATAGAATAACAATGAATTTATATACACCCAGTTGTCTTTGCATCTACTAGTCACGTACGTGATACATAACCCATCCAACAACAATCATATCACCCACTAAGTAGCAGTAGTGTTCGGATCCCTCTGATTGGTCTGAAGTGTAGGCCCTCATGTATGGGTGTTGATCGCACTAGTGCCTTGGCATCTACATAGGGTAAGTCTCACTAGATAGCTTAGATGTAGAGAACAGAAGAACAACAGAGATGTATCGGGTTATGTAATTTGGTAATGTAATTAGAACTAGTAGTGCGGTGGTCGTGTATTTACGCTTTTTTTTTTTTTTGCATCAGATTTTAATTGCATATGCAGCTATCTAGCTATGAGACAATATCAGAGAAAAGTACAGAAAAGATGACTCAGTTTACAATAGGAACACTCATGCCTCGGATTTCATTTGCAAGTACCACTGCGAAGTTATGGTGGCTTTTTCTTCACCCCAAGTCAACCCTCGTCCGTGAATACCCACCCAGGGGAACGTCTCAAAAACCCTGAGTTATCCAGACATGCCTCTGTCATCCATCAACTTTTCTCCGCGCGAAATGTTCTCTGAGATGTCTCCTTCCCAAGTGGAGTAGGTTCCCAGGCTACTCAAACCATACCAGAGAACACCACCAGGAGGCGGACCACAACACCTTCCATCGTTTGCTTGTGTTTATAGTGTCAGCTGCACTCTCGCAAGCGAAGTCTTGGCGCGCACAAAGCTCAATCCCTAAAACTCTTTCCAAAATTCGACATTTCACGCCCGTCGAGGTTATACACTTCCTTCGCATCATCTTTTCAACTTGTCCTGATCTCTCTCACATCCATCCCAAAGAACTGTCTCACAAAATTGTGCTCCACGCTTTGCTTCCTCCGTCGGGTATAAATATCGGCGTGGGCGTGTATTTGGTGACCGGCTGAGGCCAGAGAAAGTCGACGAGAGGTGTGGTCATTGAAACAAGGATGTACTAGGTCGTACTTGTAGACTTGATGAAGCTTAGTTGAGAATCGGACTCTTTGGGAGTGAAAGATTGACATGGTGTAGTAATTTGAATTTTTGCCTCGTGGGCCAACTTCTTTGATATTGCGAAATTTGACTGAACTTGGCTCTGGGAGAATATTTCACTCCCAGGTTCGTAGAGAGCACCACTGACAGGTGTTCAGTCTTGCCCTCCTATTTACGCGTCGTAGAGGGAGAACAATAGAGTACTTGCGACCTCCCACAGCTCCGAACCCTAACGTACTTCTACAACCATCCCCTCTGTAATTCAGAACCTATTGTGCTAGCACATTTAATACCCGTGATATACCGACAATGGATAATCGGTTAATGGCGACTACAACCAACGGCAGCGGAGTGCAGACAGCTCTGAGGGATAAGAACCTTGAAATCCCAGGGAAACTGTTAATACAGGTCAGACTAGTCGTAATGGGCGAGATGACGTGGAGAACTTACCATCAATGGAGAATTTCAACGGGGCCGTGAAGGTATTTACCGCGCACAAAAGGGCCTGGACAGAAATGTCCCAGAAGAATTCTCCAATCGAGGAGAGGATGATGGCACCAGAGGAGGTTGTCAAGAAGAGCCTCGCGGATCCCGTTCGTAATACTGCACCAGGTGTGGCAACGGGGATGCCGCAACCAAGGACCTTTACATCGGTCGTAACTTGGTAGATGACAAAAACGACGGTCCGTATTAAAATTGATGGAGTAGAAAATTTTCAGCCTGAGTAGCTGCTTTCAAAGTCTAAAGATTACACTCAAGGTGCTTGTGTAATTCGACAGATGTGCAGAAACGTCACCAAGATGCTCGTCCAGTGAGAATCCCAGAGAGACGCGTCACTCAATATGCGTCAATCAAGCGGATTTAAAATTTTACGGCAAGACTCTCTAGTCGAGAATCTCGGAGTTCCACTTCAGACAAGAATTGAAGGTGGCAGGGATGCAAATAGCCACGCCATCATCAGGGATATAGAGACGGCGACCAAGGCTCGAATTTCCGGCCTCAAAGTTAACAGAATTAGATGACTACACGATGAAAAGGAACACGAGCGGTCAAAGAAAAATGGCCGCAATTGAGGATCGATCGTGGTCAGCCTCCCTTTGAAGGCATTACAAATAGAAGCGGTTTGTCACAGCCTCTTTATCAACGCAATGCTCTTCACGGCGCAAGTGTGGTCCCCGCGAGCCCAGAAAAAGCAGTGTTTCAACTGCAGCCAGTTGGGATATACACAGGCATCGTGTGGAAAGATAGCTAGGTGCAGTTAATGCGCTGGTGCTCACAAAACTCGGGACTGTCCGAGAAAAAGGGTTTCTTGTGCGAACTGCGGCAAGGAACACTATTCGTGGCAGATATCAGCATGTCAGACCTACCAGGTCTATAAGAGAAATATGGAGAATGCTTGGATAGAGCTTCTATCGAGGACGGCGGGAATATGGAACAAAAAACCTTCAATGGCGCCAATGCAAACAGTCAGGACGACCGATGATCAGGGATTCACTTTGGTCACCGGTAAGAGGACTCAAGGACTCAGAAGAGGGCCGGGACGACAGCAAAAGGTTGTTAAGGCCCCAGCGGCATCAATCATCCCCGCAACAGCTGCAACATCATCGGGGCCTACTCTCCAATCACTTAGACGACCAACTTCGGCTGAGGAGGTACCTTCTCTTTTCAATTTTTAATGGCAATAGTCTGATCGAAGGGGGAGTTAACGAAATTTGAGCAAAGTTTCTAAAATTGACGTTGAAAGCAACGTCCCAAGCATTAAGTCGGGTCGGCTGAGAGTGGCATGACAGTAAGTTTTGTTGCTTGAAAGCTTTTTACCCAACCAATGCTGCTCACCATCTACGTGGTTCTGTAAATAGATACCCAATAGGACGTCAAACGAGAATAATAAATGAATATATGGATAATCACTCCGGG